AACCAAATATGCAAAATCAGCTAATATAAAGGAAAATTGGAAAAAAATGTTTCTCCGCTGGCACATAACACCACAGCAACTCGCTAAATTCCAAAAAGGAAAAAACAACAACTGCTGGAAATGCGGTAATCAACTAGGCACCTACTTCCACGTCTGGTGGCAGTGTAAAAAGGTAAAGAATTTCTGGCTTGAGATTCACAAACAAGTACAAAGAATATTACAGATTAAATTCGAACCCAAGCCGGAGTACTACCTTCTTCATCTGCTAGATTTCAATCTAGACAAAAATAAAGACAAGTTACTCTACCACCTGGCGGCTGCTGCAAGACTACTAATCGCAAGCCTGTGGAAAAAGAAAGAACTACCTACAATAAACACCTGGCTGCTCAAAGTAAGAGACTTGATGGAAAACGATACCCTGGCAAACTTAGTATACGACAAAAGCAAGAAAAATAAGATAGATTGGCAACCGTTAAGAACGTTTCTAAAAGTGAGGAAAAACATATTACTACCAGAATAGAGAAGCGAAAGCAATAAAGAAGACAAGAACCAAATATAGACAAGTTCAAGAAATTAGAAACCCGCAATCTCGATTGGAAGTCAACTTTGTTTTTTAAAATAGATTCACCTACCACTTCCTTGTTGAGACCCTCCACTCCCACTCCCATCACTCCCTCTCCCTCCCTACATCCCTATCCTTCCCCCCTCCTTTAGCAATAAACAATCTATGTTGTTTGTATGTATAATGGAAACTTTCAATAAAAATATTAATTAATAATAATAATAATAATAATAATAATAATAGACCTTGAACCCTTTTCTGCATTTGGGATGGTAGTGATGGAAAAAACCTACAACAACGGCTCTGAACCCTTTCCCACATTTGGGGTGGTAATTGTAAAAAAAAACACATAACAACGATATCAACAATAATATGAAAGCTTTTCCATATTTGGGGTGGTGGAAGTGGTGAAAAAACATTTTTTTAAATTTATTTATTTTGAACATTTCCATCCCGCCCTTCTCAACCCCTAGGGGGACTCAGGGCAGCTTACAATTGGCAATAATTCAATGCCTCATCATAAAATACAGAGTACAAAATAACAAATATAACAATTAACATGAACATTAATAAATAAAGATTAAAACAGTATACTTACACTCTGAATAGCTATTGCCCGTCTGGTGGCTGTTTAGCTAGCCATCTACTAATGAATACTCCGCTTAACTTATCCAACTTTTCCATGCCATAGTCAAACATTATCAATTAACATAACCACAACAACAACAACAACAACCAAAACAGATCTGAACTCTTTCCCACATTTAGGGTGGTGGGGGTGATGTAAAAAACATAACAACAACTGATCTGAAGTCTTTCCCACGTTTGGGGTAGTGGGGTGGTGAATAATAATAACAACAATAACATCAACTGACCTGAATCCTTTGCCACTTTGGGGAGGGTGTGAAACAACAACAACAACTGATCTGACAACAACAACAAAAAGAAATGACCTGAACCCTTTCCCCTATCTGCAGTGGTGGTGATGAAAAAACATAATAATAATAATAATAATAATAATAATAATAATAATAATAGAGCTGAATCCTTTCCCAAATTTGGGGGGGGGGGGGGGGGGGGAGTGAGAAAAAAACATATTATTGTTATTATTATTATTAGATAAACAACAAGATTATTACACAGCACACAAGATCACTATGCTGGCTTTTGTATTGGATCCCATGTCAGACACTTCCCAAGAGTCTAAGACTATGTGATGTATTGGCAAATAATGTGTGCAGATCCAAATAGGGTGGTCTTTTGCTGCTGACAAATGGTAATTTTGTCAATACCTTGTTGTTGTTGTTGTTATTTTTGTTGTTATTATTATTATTAGACATGAACCCTTTCCCACCTTTTGGGTGATGAAAAAACATAACAACAACAACAACAATAGGAAAACAAAGGGAAGGCACCACACCTTCAGTGTTGTGGATGATGCGCTCCAGAAGGACTGGGTACTTGGTGATGCGCTGTGTGACGAGAAGGTTGCACTCCTGGATGCCCAGCCGCCGCACGATGGATGCGTTGCTGATCCTCTAGGGAACAAGAGGCAGAAGAAGAAGGAAGGAAGAAAAGAAAGAAAGGGAGGGACAGAGGGGAAAAGAGGACAGGAAGGTTCTCCTCCCCCTTCTGCTGTCTACCTTGATCAGGTTCTGGAACTTCTTGCTCTGCTGCATCAGCTCCTTGTAGTAGCTGACGGCCTCGCCGTGGCCGCTGCAGAAGGTGCCGTACTTCTCCTTCATTCGCTCTCCCGTCTCACCAGAAAACTACAAAGAAAGGTGGGGATATTACAATGGGATGTTTTGGGGAAGAGTGCTAGCATGGAGGTCAAGGCAAAGCCCATCACCGTACGGGTCCAACTCAAGACTTATGCGTAATTCCAACATGTATTTGGTATTTCTTTTATTGTACTGAGAGACGTTAAGCTGGCACAGGGATACCTTAACGTAAAAGAGTTTTAATTTGTTCCATGACCGAGCTCTTAACTCAAACCGCTCTTTTCTCAAAGCGAATTTTCCCATTCAAATGTACTGAAATGCTATTAATCCATTACAGACCACAAACCCCCTGCTTAAAGAGATTTTAATAAATATTATTATGACAATTATTATGACAATTAGGTTTATTATTATTATGACTATTATTAATAATTTTATATTTTGACAATTATTACTCTTATGTTTATTATTATGACTATTATGATTGTTATATTTATTATTAGTATTATTATTCTTACTATTATTTTTATTATTTTGACAATTATTATTACTATTAAGTTTATTATTATGACTATTATCTATTATTTTATGTTTATTATTATGCCAATTATTACTATTGTTATGTTTATTATTACAAATATTATTATTACTATTAAGTTTATAAATAATAACAATTATTATTACTCTTATGTTTATTATTATGACTATTATTACTGTTATATTGATTATTACTACAATTATTAATACGATTGTTATGTTGATTATGCCAAAATAATGTTTATTATGCCAATTATTATTACTCTTATGTTTATTATTATGACTACTGCGATTGTTATATTTATTATTAGTATTATTATTCTTGCTATTATTTTTATTATTTTGACAATTATTATTACTATTAAGTTTATTATTATGACTATTGTTTATTATTACTATTATGTTTATTATTATGGCAATTATTACTATTGTTATGTTTATTATTACAAATATTATTATTACTATTAAGTTTATAAATAATAACAATTATTATTACGATGGTCGTTGACGTTGACGTGCTTAAATCACGTCAACGACTTAAATCAAGACATAGTTTTCTTAGATCTACAGAGACACTCGCTGGAACACCCCAGCAAGCGAGAGTCCAAAAGTGGCAGGCCCAAACCCAGCACCTAAATTCATGGGTGATACCAGATGAGAGACTCCCCCCTGGGCACTCAGAAGACTGGGCGACTTGGAAGGCGCTGAACAGACTGCGCTCTGGCACCACGAGATGCAGAGCCAATCTTAAGAAATGGGGCTACAGGGTGGAATCCTCGGCATGCGAGTGCGGAGAAGAACAAACCACTGACCACCTGCTCCAATGCACCCTGAGCCCTGCCACATGCACAATGGAGGACCTTCTTGCGGCAACCCCAGAGGCACTCCAAGTGGCCAGATACTGGTCAAAGGACATTTAACCAAATACCAAATATGCAAAATCTGTGTGGTTTTTCTTTCTTTCTTTTTTTCTTTTTCTTTTTAATCTCTGTGTTTGTCTTGCTCTGTTAGAATTGTAATACAATGGTTGCTGATGACACGATAAATAAAAAAAAAAATTACGATGGTTATGTTTATCATTATGACTATTATTACTGTTGTTATGTTGATTATTACTACAATTATTAATACAATTGTTATGTTGATTATTATGCCAATTATAATGTTTATTATGCCAATTATTATTACTGTTGTTATGTTTATTATTATGATGCTGGTTATGATGTTTATGATTTTATTTTATTTTTTGGTCGTGCCAGGAGCAATTTGCGAGACTGCAAGTCGCTTCTGGTGTGAGAGAATTGGCCGTCTGCAAGGACGTTGCCCAGGGGACGCCCGGATGTTTTGATGCTTTATCATCCTTGTGGGAGGCTTCTCTCATGTCCCCGCATGCGGAGCTGGAGCTGACAGAGGGAGCTCATCCTCACTCTCCCCGGATTTGAACCTGCGACCTGTCATCCTCACTCTCCCCGGATTTGAACCTGCGACATGTCGGTCTTCAGTCCTGCTGGCACAGGGGTTTAACCCACTGCACCACTGGGGGCTCCATATGTTTATGATGATGATTACAGTATCTACGTATTGTCGAAGGCTTTCATGGCCGGGATCACTGGGTTGTTGTAGGTTTTTCCGGGCTATATGGCCATGTTCTGGAGGCAATTTTTCTCCTGACGTTTTGCCTGCATCTATGGCAAGCATCCTCAGAGGTAGTGAGGTCTGTTGGAAGTAGGAAAAATGGGTTTATATATCTGTGGAATGACCAGGGTAATGTTTCAGCTGATCACCTTGATTTGCATTCAATGGCCTGGAAGTGCCTGGGGGGAATCTCTTGTTGAGAGTGAATTGATGTGCCAATTCACTCTCAACAAGAGATTCCCCCCAGGCGCTTCCAGGCCATTGAATGCAAATCAAGGTGATCAGCTGAAACATTACCCTGGTCATTCCACAGATATATAAACCCAGTTTTCCTACTTCCAACAGACCTCACTACCTCTGAGGAAGCTTGGCATAGATGCAGGCAAAACGTCAGGAGAAAAATTGCCTCCAGAACATGGCCATATAGCCCGGAAAAACCTACGATTACAATATCTACCGTGTTTTCCCGAAAATAAGACACTGTCTTATATATTTTTTTCTTCGAGAAGACACACTGGCTTGTTTTCAAGGGATGGCTTATTTGTATTAAGTATGGCACAACAATCTACATTTATTCAAATTTATTCAAATATAGTTGAGTCATCTTTTTCTGGAACATCTTCATAACTTACAGTGCTGAGTAAAACGGCAGCCACAGCTTTACTTCTTCCCCCTGACGACACACAATACCTAAAGTAGAGTGTCCTGCTCCTCACTTCACTGAAGGACTTTAACTTTGACTTTCTATGTCCGCCTCTATGCCTCAGCTTGCAGCACACACAGAACGACAGGGTCTTGACAGGGGGAGCCGACCTTGACCTTGTTGATGGGGCTGCCCACACCTCTCTGGTCACCTCTGAGCCAGCAGCTTGACCATGTTGCATAGCCACACCTATCACCATGTCTTTTTTCGGGGTATGGCTTATATTGCACAAATGCTTAGATATACTGCTATGTCTTATTGTATGGGCATGTGTTATTTTCGGGGAAACATGGTAATTTGGAAGGAAAGATACTGGGGATTCAACATCATCTATATATATAAATTTGTTAGGGGCATCCAACGAGGAAACAAAACTCAAAAACCCCCCAACGAAACTTAACCAAAATTCCCATGCCCATAACACAACCCACAAGGTACAAACATATCTAATCAAAATGAAAAACAACACAACAACACACTCACAAAAAGGCAAAACAACAAAACTCAAAAATCCCCCAACGAAACTTAACCAAAATTCCCATGCTCATAACACAACCCCACAAGGTACAAACATATCTACTCAAAATGAAAAACAACACAACAACACACTCACAAAACGGCAAAACAACAAAACTCAAAAAACCCCAACGAAACTTAACCAAAATTCCCATGCCCATAACACAACCCACAAGGTACAAACATATCTACTCAAAATGAAAACCAACACAACAACACACTCACAAAACGGCAAAACAACAAAACTCAAAAAAACCCCAACGAAACTTAACCAAAATTCCCATGCCCATAACACAACCCACAAGGTACAAACATATCTACTCAAAATGAAAAACAACACAACAACACACCCACAAAACGGCAAAACAACTGAGCATGCGCATTGGCGCCCAGCCGCAAGTTCCCTGGCGTGCGCACATGCCCTTCCGGCCAACGTTCCCTCTGCGGAAACCATGCCCACTCCAAGCCCCGCCGCGCCGCTTCCCGCACACACACACACCCCTGCCGCACATACACACAACCCCACACTCCATCACTCCCCCCGCCGCCGCACACACACACGCAACCCCACACTCCATCACTTCCCCCGCTGCCGCACGCACACACGCAACCCCACTCCCCCCGCCGCCGCACACACACACGCAACCCCACGCTCCATCACTCCCCCCGCCGCCGCACGCACACACGCAACCCCACTCCCCCGCCGCCGCACACACACACACAACCCCACGCTCCATCACTCCCCCACCCCAATCTTACCTCCTTTTACTTCACGCCACCTCCAACCCCCCCCCGCCCCTTCCCGCCCTGTCAAAATCTAGGAAAGACAGGAAGGAAGGAAAGAAGGAAGAAAGAGAAAGGGAGGTAAAGAAAAAGGGGGAAGGAAGGAAAGTTAGAGAAAGAAGGAAGAAGAAAAGGAAAGAAAAGGAAAGATGGAAGGAAAGAAAAGAGAGACAGCAGAAAAGAAAGAAAAAGGGGGAAGGAAGGAAAGAGATAGAGAAAGAAGAGGAGAAGGAAAGATGGGAGGGAAGGAAGGAAGGAAGGAAGGAGGGAAAGAAGGAGAGAAAGAGGGAAGATTGGCCACAGCAACACGTGGCGGGTAAAGGTTGTTATTTCTATTATTATTATTATTATTATTATTATTATTATTATTATTATTATTATTATTATGCTATTGTTCCTATGAGACCCTGGAGGAATGGGAGAGGTGTCAGGTCCCAGAGGCAATGCATTGCATTATTGTTATTGTTATGATGGTGGTAAAATAAAAGGAAATAAAAAGTGAAAGAAGGAAGCAAACAGGGAGGGAAGAAAGGCAAAGGAAGAAAGGGGGAGGGAATGAAGGAAAGAGAGAAGGATGAAATCAAGTAGTGAAAGAAAGAAAGAGGTAGAGAAGGAAGAAAGGAGAGAAAGGGGGAGGAAAAGGGGGAAGGAATAGGTAGGTACCTCTCTTTCATAATAGTCCAGATATCTACCTCAACTTTGATAAGTTTTACTATAGGCCACAGCAACGCGTGGCAGGGCAAAGCTAGTAATTAATAAACATAATAACTGTAATAATAATGGTCATAACAATAAATGTAACAATAGTAATAACAATGGTCATAATAATAAACATAGTAATAGTTATAATAATAAACTTCATAGTAATAAAGGTCATAATAATAAACATAACAATAGTAATAATAATTGTCAGAATAAATAGTAATAATAGTAATAATACACTTGATAGTAATAACTGTCACAATAATAAATATAATGATACTAAAAATTATAAACTTAATAATAATTATTGTCATGATAAAAAACATAACAATAGTAAATAATAATTGTCATAAAAATAAACTTAATAGTAATTATTGTCATAACAATGAAGCCCCAATAGAAGAACCCTCTTTAAGTTCTTCTAGTGTGACCCTGTGCTCAACTCCCACCAGACGGGACTACCTACCTGCGAATATGCAAAAGGGCCCTGCTGTGCTTTCTGAAATCCCCAAAAGAGAAACAGAGACATGCACAGAGGGCTTTTCTCACCTGCTGTACCAAGAGGTCCCCGATGTGCTGGATGACGTAGTTGCGCTGGCTGCCGTCCTCCAGCGCCTGTGCCCGGCGCTCCTTGAGGCGCGAGAGGAAGGCCGCATGCAGCTCCAGCAGCTCCTCCACGCAGGGGAAGAGGCGCTGAGCGGCAGCCAGGCCCAACTGCAGCTCCTCCCGCACGGCCCGCGAGTAGACCTTTAGCAGGATCTTCAGCGTCCGGACGTGGTGCATCTCTGTCTGCATCAGCTCTGCAAGGAACAAGGCAAAGAAGAGCAGGTTACAAGCAGGACGTAGCCGCCTGCCTGCTGCTCTCTCACCAGCCTTTCTCTTCTTTCCTCTTTTTTTATTTAAGAATTTGTAATGAATAAATGATGTGTGGTCTGAATGAAATGGAATGAAATTGTACCTATTGGGACCTAAAGAGGTCATGAGATGCAATACCATCTTAAGAAATGCAGCCTGGAAAACTACAAGAAGGAGGTGAAGAATTCATGAACTGTAATTAAAAGTTGTTCAACTGCTGACATTGACAGTCAGAGACAAATGATTAACTCTTGTGGCAGAAAACAACATATTTACATGACCAGAGACAATGACAGTTTTAAGTTAAGGAATCGTTTACAATGATTAAATGGAAATAATAATAATAATAATAATAATAATAATAATAATAATAATAGTTTTGTGTGGTTGACATGAATTTGCGTCAGACTTTTAAATAGATAATAATAATAATAATAATAATAATAATAATAATAATAATAATAATAATAATTGTGTGTGATTGATGTGAACCTTGCTCAGACTTTTAAATGGAAATAATAATCATCATCATCATCATGATCTTTAGCACTGATATCAACATGGAATTTAGTTTGGACAAATGTTTGACAGTGGCACTGAAGAAGGGAAAAATCATTGAAAGTGAGGGCATAAATATGCCTACTTGCCAAGCAATAAAGTGTCACCACCCTATAAATATCTGGGCATACTACAGCTGGACAACATCAAATATGAAAATGTGAAAACTGTGGTCAGCAAAGAATACACTCAAAGGGTCAGAAAAATTCTCAAAAGGAAGCTCAATGGAGGCAATACCATCAAGGCCAAAATCGCCTGGGCCATACCTGTCATAAGATATACTGCTGGCATGATAAACTGAATGCAGGCAGAACTGGCAATTTGGACAAAAAAAGAAGAAAACTCACGACCATTCATAATTTACTGCATCCTCGCAGTGATGTTGACCGGCTCTACCTGCCTAGAAGGTCTGATGACAGAGGAGTTTTACAAGTCAAACAAGCAGTCAAAGACGAAAAACACGCCCTGGCAGAATATGTCAAGGAAAGCCAAGAACCTGCTTTGATTGAAGTCAATAATCAGAAACTTCTCAAAGCACAGCAGCCAAAGAATCAGTACAAGAAAACTGCACAACAAACTAGAGCTGATAGCTGGCACAACAAAGCATTGCTTGGCCAGTTCCTTGACAAAATTGAAGGAAAAGTTGATAAGGAGAAGACCTGGTGATGGCTCATGAATGGAACCCTGAAGAAGGAGACAGAAGGCCTGATCCTTGCAGACCAGGAGCAAGCCACCAGAACAAATGCCATTAAGGCCAGGATCGAAAAATCAGCTGATGGCCCAAAATGCAGACTGTGCAAGGAAGCTGATGAAACCATTCATCATATCCACAGCTGTTGCAAGAAAATCGCACAGACAGACTACAAACAGAGGCACAACTCTGTGGCCCAAGGGATTCATTGAAACTTATGTCACAAGTACCACCTGCCAGTAGAAAAGAACTGGTAAAAGGATCATAAACCTGCAAAGGTAGTGGAAAATGAACATGCAAAAATACTGTGGGACTTTCAAATCCAATCTGACAAAGTTTTGGAACACAATACACCAGACCTCACAATTGTGGAAAAGAAAAAAAGTTTGGATTATTGATGTTGTTATACCAGGTGACAGTCAAATTGATGAAAAACAACAGGAAAAACCCAGCCATTATCAATACCTCAAAATACCTCAAAATCAAACTGCAAAGGCTGTGGCATAAACCAGTACAGGTGGTCCCAGTGGTCATTGGCGCACTGGGTGCCATGCCAAAAGATCTCAGCCGGCATTTGGAAACAATAAACATTGACAAAATCGCGATCTGTCAACTGCAAAAGGGCACCTTACTTGGATCTGCGTACATCATTCGAAAATATATCACACAGTCCTAGACGCTTGGGAATAATAATAATTTTGTGTGGTTCATGTGAACTTTGCTCGGGCTTTTACATGGAAATAATAATAATAACAATAATAATAACAACAACAACAACAACGTGACTGATGTGGGGGTGGCTCAGGCTTTTAAATAGACATAATGATGATGATAATAAAACTATTATGTTTAATAATAAGACAACAACAACAACAACAATAATAATAATAGAGTTGGAAGGGACCTCTAAAGGCCATCTAGTCCAAGCCCCTTCTGCCTTCATGCAGGCAAATCACCATCAAAGCCCTCCCAGCCATCTAGCCTCAATAATAATAATAAATAATAATAATAATATATATAACAATAACTTAATAAGGTAAAGGAATTATTATTATTACTTTTATTAATAAATAATAAATGTGGGTTGTTGTAGGTTTTTCCGGGCTATATGGCCATGTTCTGGAAGCACTTTCTCCTGACGTTTCGCCTGCATCTATGGCAAGCATCCTCAGAGGTAGTGAGGTCTGTTGGAAGTAGGAAAATGGCTTTATATATCTGTGGAATGACCAGGGTGGGACAAAGGACTTTTGTCTGCTGGAGCTAGGTGTGAATGTTTCAACTGGCCACCTTGATTAGCATTTAATGGCTTGGAAGTGCCTGGGGGGAATCTTTTGTTGAGAGTGATTTGATGTGCCTGATTGTTTCCTCTCTGTTGTTTTGCTGTTGTAATTTTTGAGTTTTTTTAATACTGGTAGCCAGATTTTGTTCATTTTCATGGTTTCTTCCTTTCTGTTGAAATTGTCCACATGTTTGTGGATTTCAATGGCTTCTCTGTGTAGTCTGACATGGTGGTTGTAAGTGTGGTCCAGCATTTTTGTGTTCTCAAATAATATGCTGTGTAATAATTTCTAATAATAATATTAAATATAATAATAATAACAACAACAACAAATAGGAAAATGAATATCCCACCATAGATGACGTCCTGCCGCTTGACGGTGTCTCGCTCCTGGGCCTTGGCATACCAGGGCTCCACTGCCAGGCTCCATGACTGGGCCTCAAACTCCCGGGCATCCGCTTCCAGCTCATTCCGCAAGGAGGCAAAGTGGGCATCTGGGAAGGAAATAGGAAACGGTCAGTCTTGGTTGCCCGACACTCGGAGAGAGCCTTCCTTCCCTGAGCTGCCTTAGGTCATCATCATGTGACTTCACTAGGCCATTGCATAGCAGATGGACGAACAGGGCAGAAAACAAACATTAAGGTGATGTTAGCTGGCCATAATGACCAATGACTTTGATGTGCAGGAAACAGGGGAATGTCACTTAATTGATGTGAACCCCATGGCTCTGATGTGAAGGAAAAGGGCAGGCATCAGAGGATTTTTGTGATTGATGACATAATAATAATAATAATAATGATGATGATGATGATGATGATGATGATGTTTATAATCTTCTTGTGGAGAGAAAAAGTGGGGTATAAATAAACACAATACAGTAGTCTTGCTTATCCGACATAAACGGACCAGCAGAATGTCGGATAAACGAAAATGTCGGATAATGCGGAGTCTCCTACTGTTACCCGTCCTACGTGGCGCTAGACACCTACAATGCTAACAACAGGGACTCAAAGGGTTAAGGCAAGGCAACACCTCAGTGATAGAACAGCCCAGAAGGAAGTGCCCGGAAGAGAAGCATGGAAATCACAGAGGGAAGGAGGGAGGGTGTTTAATAATAATAATAATAATAATAATAATAATAATAATAATAATAACTTTATTTATATACCGCTCTATCGCCCTGAGGGGACTCAGAGCGGTTCCCAGGTAACATCACAAAACATACAAAGTAAAACAACATAACCATAAGATAAACCAAACAATATAAGCATAAAAATTGTCGCCATAACACACACATATTAAAAGTAATCCTGCCTGATCAAGGCAATTTAAAAATTTCAAAGGCCAGGCCAAGATTTGTGCAAACCCAAAAAATATAGGGGGCCCAGGAATTAAGTGCAATGCTATGGCAGGCAACAATAATATTAGATACGGATCTGTGGCTGTTCATTCCGGGGCCGATTAGAGGAAGTGATCTGGGTAATTGGTAGGAAGAATAAGGCCGTATTCGACAATGTGTAAGGCGGAGTTAGAACTGGTTATTTTCAAAAGCTTGTTGAAACCACCAGGTCTTCAAGCTCTTATGAAAGGAGGGGAGGGATGTGGCCTGTATTATTTCCCTTGGAAGGGCATTCCAGAGGCGGGGGGCCACCACAAGAAGGTCCTCTCTCTCGTCCCCACCAACCACTTCTAGCCCTGCCTCTTTCCCCCTTTCCTCCCTCCTCCTCCTCCTCCTCCTCCTCGTCTTGCCTTTTTCACTTATTGGGAATGGAGAGACGGTTGGGGAGCACTCCTTCAATTGAAGGGGAAATATTGGAGGAAAAGGGGGGCATCGGATAAGAGTGTCGGATAAGACAGAATGTCGGATAAGTGAAGGTTGGATTAGCGAGACTTTACTGCATGGGTCCTCAAACTAAGGCCTGCGGGCCGAATATGGCCCTCCAAGGTCATTTACCCGGCCCTCGCTCAGGGTCACCATAAATCTGAATTGACTTGAAAGCACACAACAACAATCCTATCTCATCAGCCAAAAGCAGGCCCACAGTTTTCATTGAAATACTAATATAATGGTATAGTGCAATATAGTAATATATAATACTGATATTGTACTATGTTAATAATATAATATATTGTATGAAAATATATCCTGTAAGCCACTCTGAGTCCCCTTCAGGGTGAGAAGGGAGGAATATAAATGCCGTAAATAAATAAATAATACATTTATATTTCTTAAAATTGTTCTTCATTTTAATTATTGTATTGTTTTAAAGTGTTTTTGCCCTACAAATAAGATGTGTGCAGTGTGATCTAGGGAAGTAATGCTCCCCCTCTATTCCGCTTTGGTTAGACCACACCTGGAATATTGTGTCCAATTCTGGGCACCACAATTCAAGAGAGATATTGATAAGTTGGAATGTGTCCAGAGGAGAGCGACTAAAGTGATCAAGGGTCTGTAGAACAAACCCTATGAGGAGCGGCTTAAGGAGCTGGGCATGTTTAGCCTGAAGAAGAGAAGGCTGAGAGGAGATATGATAGCCATGTATAAATATGTGAGAGGAAGCCACAGGGAGGAGGGAGCAAGCTTGTTTTCTGCTTCCTTGGAGACTAGGACGCGGAGCAATGGCTTCAAACTACAAGAGAGGAGATTCCATCTGGACATGAGGAGGAACTTCCTGACTGTGAGAGCCGTTCAGCAGTGGAACTCTCTGCCCCGGAGTGTGGTGGAGGCTCCTTCTTTGGAGGCTTTTAAACAGAGGCTGGATAGCCATCTGTCAGGGGTGATTTGAATGCAATGTGCCTGCTTCTTGGCAGGGGGTTGGACTGGATGGCCCATGAGGTCTTTTCCAACTCTTTGACTCTATGATAGGAATTCATTCATTTTTATTTCAAATTATAATCCGGCCCTCCAACAGTTTGAGGGACTGTGTCCTGGCCCTCTGTTTAAAATGTTTGAAGACCCCTGCTCTACCGTAACAAGAATGACGACAACAACAACAACCACAAAATAATAATAATAATAATAATAATAGATACATAGCCCTTTCCATACCTTCCACAAAGACCGATTCCGAGGTCGACAGTGAGACCGCATCGTCAGCGGCCAGTTTGAGCTTGGCGAGGCCAGAAGAATCCCCTTCGTCCATCTCTCCCCCAGCGAGTCTGAACAATCAAAAGGGAAAAGCAAGGAAGCAGCTCAGTGTCTCTTCCCCAGGTCGACGTTTCTCATTGGAAAGAGCTAAAAAAGGGCTCCATCTATTGAAGCCATGCATTTCAAAGTAGCTCCAGAAGGAAATGTCAATGGAGAAAGGAGCAGGAAAGGAAAAGGAGAAAAAGGAGGAGGGCACAAGAGGGATAGATATACTCCACTTGCTTGACTACCACCAGATGCCAGTGAAATGAAAAAAGGTGCCAATGCTGCTAGATCACATTGGCCGTAGAGCCTGGAAACCACAGAACACCCCATTCCCTCTTAGTCTCTGCCCCTCATCCTATCTATCTATCTAATCATCCTATTCAATCACCCCATCTTTTGTTATTACTCTCTATCCCTCCCTCCCACCCCATTATCATCCTATCTATAATTTCTCTTTCATTCTATCCAACCATCCCCTTTCTCTCTGTCCCTCCTGCCATCATTCTATTTATCCATCCATCCATAATCTGTCTGTCTGTATATTTATCTAATCATTCTATCCAATCATCCCACCTAACTACCAGTCTCTTTCTCACTCTATTCCTCCTTCCATCTATCATCCTATCTATATGATGACTATCCTATATTCAATCTATCAATCTAGTATAATATATTGTATGTAATATATACCTTGTAAGCCGCTCTGAGTCCCCTTCGGGGTGAGAAGGGCGGCATATAAATTCCGTAAATAAATAAATAATATCTATCTATCTATCTATCTATCTATCTATCTATCTGACAACAGTGATTAATGAACGCCACCCGGGCAGAGGAGGTCTCCAGGCTAATGAACACCACCCTGAACATTACTCCACAAGCATATTATACACTCCTGTTGCTCGACTCCGATCCTCTGTAGCCACAGGTGCAGGCAAAACGAACAAAAGAGCAAATGCTGCTAGAACACATTGACTGTACAGCCTGGAAAACCACACAAAACCCTATTCTCTCTGCTCCTCCTCACATTATTATAGCTAGCTAGCTAACTAGCTAGCTAACTATCGATTTATCTAACCATCCTATCCAATAATCCCATCTAATTAACTACTAGTCTCTTTCCTTCCCTATCCCTCCTTCCATCTGTCATCCTATCTATCTGATGATCATCCTATATCGAATCAGCCATCTATCTATCTATCTCAGGGGTCCCCAAACTAAGGCCCGGGGGCCGGATACAGTCCTTCAAAGTCATTTACCCAGCCCTCGCTCAGGGTCAACCTAAGTCTGAAATGACTTGAAAGCACACAACAACAACAACAACAATCCTATCTCATCAGCCAAAAGCAGGTCCACACCCCACTGAAGTACAAATAAGTTTATATTTGTTAACACTGTTCTTCATTTTAATTATTATATTGTTTTAAAGTGTTTTTTGCACTACAAATAAGATATGTGCAGTGTGCATAGGAATTCATTCATGTTTTTTTCAAATTATAATCCGGCCCTCCAACCGTTTGAGGGACTGTGACCTGGCCCTATGTTTAAAATGTTTGAGGACCCCTGATCTATCTGATGATCATCCTATATCCAATCATCTATCTATCTGATGATCATTCAATATACAATCATCTATCCATCTATCTGATGATCATCCTATATCCAATTATCCATGTATCTATCTGATGATCATTCTATCAAAACTATCTGATTATCAGCATATATCCAATCATCCATTTATCTCAGTAGTTCCCAGCCTTTGGGACTCCAGGCATTTTGGATGTCAACTTCCAGAAATCCCAGCCAGCTTACCAGCTGTTAGGAACTGTGGGAGCTGAGGTCCAAAATAACTGGAGGCCCAAAGGTTGGGAACCACTGATCTAGCTGATGATCATCCTATATCTAATCATTCATCTATCTAATTGATGATCATCCTATAGCTAATCATCTGTCTACCTATCTGTCTATCTGATGATCATCCTAAATCCACTCATCCATCTTATAATCATCCTCTATCTATCTATCTATCTATCTATCTATCTATCTATCTATCTATCTGATGACAGTGACCAATGAATGCCATCTGGGCAGCGGTCTCCAGGATAGTGAACACCACCCAGAAATTCCACAGGTATATATACACCCCCACTTGCTTGACCGCCAGATCAGATCCTCTGCAGGTGCCAGTAGCCACAGACACAGGTGAAATGAACACAGGAGCACATTGGCCGTACAGTCCAGAAAACCACACCACACTGAATCCCCTCTTTCTCTCTGCTCCTCCTCCCACTATTCAATCTATCTATCTATCTATCTATCTATCTATCTATCTATCTATCTACTATCTATCTAATCATTTATTATTTATTTACTTTGCTTATATACCGCTGTATCTCAAGCCCGAAGGCGACTCACAGCGGTTCACAAACAGTAGAAACAGTAGAAACAGCAGTGGTTCCATACAACATATAACAATTGACTTAACACATTATCCATAAATTACCAATAAGCAATTACAATGCACATCATCTCATCTAACTACCAGTCATCTCATCTAACTACCAGTCTCTTTTTATCGCTATCCCTCTTTCCATCTGTCATCCTATATGTCTGATGATCATTCTATATCCAATCATCCATCCATCTCTTTCTATCTGATGTTCATTCTATATGCAATCATCCATCTATCTGATTATCATGCTATATCCAATAATCTATCTATCTATCTATCTATCTATCTATCTATCTATCTATCTATCTGATAATCATTCAATATCCAATTATCCATCCATTTATCTGATGATCATCCTATATTGAATCATCTATCTATCTATCTATCTATCTATCTGATGATCAATCAATACCCAATCATCCATCCATCTATCTGATGATAAACTCTATCCAATCATCCATCTATCTATCTATCTGATGATCATTCTATATCCAATCCTCTTATCTATTTAAACTATTTGATGATCATCCTAAATTGAATTATCTATCTATCTATCTATCTATCTATCTATCTATCTATCTATCTGATGATCACTCAATATCCAACCATCTATCCATCTATCTTATCTGATGATCATCCTATATTGAATCATCTATCTATCTATCTATCTATCTATCTATCTATCTATCTATCCATCCAATGATAATTCAATATCCAATCACCCACCTATCTATCCAATGGTCCTCTTATATCCAATCATCATCTATTTGATGATGATCCTATATCCAATCATTTATCTATCTATCTGATGATCAATCAATATTCAATCATCCATCTATCCGATGATCATCCTATATCCAATCCTCTTATCTATTTAAACTATTTGATGATCATCCTAAATTGAATCATCTATCTATCTATCTATCTATCTATCTATCTATCTGATGATCACTCAATATCCATCCATCCAATGATCATCCCAATATCCAATCATCCACCCATCTGTCTGATGATCCTCTTATATCCAATCATCTATCTATCTATCTATCTATCTATCTATCTATCTATCTATCTATCTATCTAATGATCTTTCAATATCCAATCAGCCATCAATCTATCTATCTGATGATCATCTTATATTCAATCATCTATCTATCTATCTATCTATCTATCTATCTATCTATCTATCTATCTATCTATCTATCTATCTATCTGATAACAGTGACTAATGAATGCCACCTGGGCAGAGAAGGTCTCAAGGCAATTGGCATCTGTGGCTGCTGGCATCTTTGCAACCTCACAAACCTCTGAGGATGCCTGCCACAAATGCAGGTGAAACATCAGGAGAGAAAGCTGCTGGAACATGGCCATGCAGCCTGGAAAACTCACAGCAACCCAGTGATTCTGGCCATGAAAATCTTTGAAACTCATTGACAACGCAAAGGAGCAAATGGTGCAAGATCACATTGGTCATACAGCCCGGAAACGACACAACTCCCCAACGCTGGAGTGCAGGAAGGGAGGGTGCAACTCACCCAAGCTGACTGGCGGCGGCACTCAGCGCAGACGGCGACGAGGCTCCCCTCTGGCTGAAGACGGTCATGCCGCTTCCTCCATCATGTCTGGTCGGTGGGTGTGGATAATTCGGATGCTCATGAAGAAAGGCGGCTATGGAAGCAAAGGCAGAGTTGGTGCTGAGGAACCGGGGGGCAAAGGGGAGCCCAGCTCGGGGGGCCTGCTGCCGGAGGAGGGCCGAGAGGACGCGGGAGGTCAGCAGCTCGTTCTCCAAGAAGAGGCTCTCATTCCAGTTGCGGGAGAAGGATCCGCAGAAGTGCGGCTGCTCCGAGGTGCCGGTGCCCCCCTTGGAGTTGGTGCTCCCCATGTCGGCAGACCCAGCGGCCAGAGGAAGCGCGCCTCCTCTGGCTTTATATACCTACGCTTTACACCTTCGAGAAATGTCTAGAAAGGAGAGCGGGGCGGCCTCCTGCCTGAGACAAATTAACAAGGCCAAGGCACCCCGGTGGGCTTTGCTTCAAGAAGCGGCAGAAACAAATCAATTGCACCAGGCAAAGGGATCGGCCGGCAAGGATTAATTTTGGCAGCACGCTCGGCTATTATGGAGCAAACGGTCCAGATGTTGCAGCTAGGATCTAAGACAAGATCACAGGCCTGGCCCAACTTCGGCCCTCCTTCCAGGTGTTTTGGATGCCAACTCCCACAATTCATAACAGCCAGTACTATTTATTTATCTACTATATTTGTATACCACCCTTCTCAGTTATTATTATTATTATTATATTGTTATATGATTATTATTATATTATGTTACTGCAGGTAGGACCTAAAACAGTATCAGAGGCCTGGACCAACTTCAGCCCTCCTTCCAGGTGTTTTGAACTTCAACTCCCACAATTCCTAATAGCCAGAATATTATATTATTATTATTATTATTATTATTATTATTATTATTATTGTTGTTGTTGTTGTTGTTGTTGTTATCATATTGTTATACTAATATATGATATTATTGCAAGAAGGAGCTAAGACAGTATCACAGCCCTGGGCCAACTTCAGCCCTCCCTCCAGGTATTTTGGACTTCAACTCCCACAATTCTTAACAGTCGGTATAATATTATTATTATTATATTGTTGTTTTAATATTTTTATATTTATATTATATTATTATAATAATAATATTGTTTATTATATGATTATTATATAATTATATATTATTACTATTAATTTACTGACACAAAAACACAGTATGACACAGCATATGAGATCTATATGCTGGATTTCATATCACAAAATCACAAGTCAAACACTTCCCAGGCGTTAAGGAATGTGTGATATATTTTCGAATGATCCAAGTCAGGTGGCCTTTTGCAGTTGACAGATCGTGATTTTGTCAATGTTTACTGTTTTCCAATGCTGGCTGAAATCTTTTGGCAGGGCATCCAGTGCGCCAATGACCACTGGGACCACCTGTACTGGTTTATGCCAGAGCCTTTGCAGTTCAGTTTTGAGGTCTTGATAACGGTTGAGTTTTTCCTGTTGTTTTTCGTTGTTATTATTATTATTATTATTATTACTGTGAGCCTGGGTTGAGCCTCCTTATTTAGGAGAAACCACTTAATAATAACATATTATTATAATAGTATAATAATATAATATAATATAATAATAGTAATTCTAGTATTTTCCCTTCAAAGATCTGTATGAGGATAAGTCGAGCCTCCATGTCTAGGAGTAATTCATCTAATATATATATAAAATCATAGTTAAAGTACTAATACTACTACTACTAATAATAATAATAATGATAATAATAGTTGGCCAATGCCTGAAGTATCACTATGTAACAAAATTTGAAAAAAAATGTTCCTGGCTTGAAAGTGTTATTTCCTTTCTACTTGTTCAGAGAAAGAAGGAAGGAAGAAAGGAAGGAAGGAAGGAAGGAAGGTAGGAAGGAAGGAAGGAAAGAAGGAAGGAAAGGAGAACCATCCCCAAATGGCTCTGCGACTATTATGTGAGGAAAGCAAAAATACCAATTTCGTTGCCACAAAAAGGTGTATGATGGCAGGTACTACTATCAAAGATGTAACTTCTTTTTCTTTTATATTTTGGAATAGGTTTTAAACTCATGTAAAGGTTTCTTCTGTGGTGACGACTATTACGCGATGAAATACAGTATGCTTTAACATATGAACTTTATAGATCTATTGAACTAAGTTGTGCTCTGCTTCAAACCAAAAGGAGAGGTGGATAATAAATAAAAACTATTATTATTATTATTATTATTATTATTATTATTATTATTATTAGGCTATGTAACAAAATTTGAAAAAGCCTCTGTTCCAAGTTTGATAAACTCATGTAAAGGTTTCCTCTATGGTGAGGACTATTATACAATGAAATACGATATGTTTTAACATGTGATTTTTATAGATGTATTGAACAATATTGTACTCCGTCTCAAACTGAAAGGAGAAGGCATCCTGGTGTGAAAGTGTTATTTCCTGTTTAATTGTGCGGTCCTTACTTTGGAAGTCATTGTTCAACTCCAGAAACTTTTGTTTTCATGGCACAAACTATGTTGAATTGGTTGAGACTCAATAATGAGGAATGCACTGAAAAACTAGAGAAAAATGTACTATAGCACCGTGTTTCTCAACCTTCCTAATGCCGAGACCCCTTAATACAGTTCCTCATGTTGTGGTGACCCCCAACCATAAAATTATTTTTGTTGCTACTTTAGAACTATCATTTTGCTACTGTTATGAATCGTCATGCACATATCTGATATGCAGGATGCATTTTCATTTACTGGACCTAATTTGGTACAAATACCCGAAATGCCCAAATCTGAATACTGGTGGGGTTGGAAGGGGGTTTGATTTTGTCATTTGGGAGTTGTAGTTGCTGGGATTTATAGTTAACCTACAATCAACCTACAATCAAAGAGCATTCTGAAATCCACCAACCATGGAATTGAACCAAACTGGGCACAATGATGGACCTGGACCACACTTGCCACAAATGATGGGATTTGAGATCACTGCGACCCCCACGAATGACGGACCTGAACCAAACTTACCACAGACTCTCAATGACGTACTTTACAACCTAATGACTTTTGGGAGAAGATGGACTAAGAACAATGGGAATTGCAGTACCTTCACTCACTCCCAGACCACTGCGACCTCTATGAATGATGGGCCGGCCTGGATCAAACTTGAGACATAAAACCCTCATGATCAACAAAACATACTGGAGGGGTTTGGGGAACTGCCCCACCTGCGTGGGAGTTATCGTTCACCCTGCATCCAGAGCACTCTGAACCCCACCAATGATGACTCTGGATCACACTGGTGACCAACAGAACATACTAGAGGTGTTTGTGGGGGGGCCAACCCACCTGCGTGGGAATTGTACTTCACCCTGGATCCAAAGAGCATTCCGAAGCTCCCAATGGCAGATCTGGACCAAACTTGGCACACAGAACCCTGGTGACCAACAGAACATACTGGAGGTGGTTGTGAGGGAACGGATCCACCCGTGTGGGATTCGTAGCTCACCCTGCACCCAGAGAGCATTCCGAAGCCCTCAAGGCAGATCTGGATCAAACATGGCACATAACCCTGGTGGCCAACTTCACATACTATAAGAGCTTGGGAGAGGACTAACCCATGCACGTGAGAGTTGTAGTTCACCCTACACCCAGAGAGCATGCCAAAGCCCCCAATGGTGGATCTGGAACACATGTGGCACACAGAACCCTGATGGACAACAGAACATACTGGAGAGGTTGGGGAAGGAATGATCCACCTGCATGGGAGTTGTAGCTCACCCTGCATCCAGAGCACTCTGAACCCACTCAATAATGGATTTCGACCAAACTTGGCACACACAACCAACATGCCCAACTGTGAATACAGGTGTAGTTTGTGGGTGACTGCCCTGGGAATCTGGGAATTGTAGTTCGCCTGCATCCAGAGAAACTGTGACCTCCACTGCACAGAACTCCCATGAACAAAGAAAAATACTGGAGAGATTTGGGGGGGAATTCACCTTGATTTATAGCTGTTGTAGGTAGTAGGATTTATAGTTCACTTGCAATCAAAGAGTACTCTGGACCCCACCAAAGATGGCTCTGGACCTCACTTGGCACACAGAACCCCCATGACCAACAAAAATGCAGGAGGGCTTTGGGGAAAATTCACTTTGATTTATTGGAATTACATCCAGAGAGCACTGTGAACGCAAGTGACGATGGATCTGCACAAAATTCAGCACGCATACCTGATATGCCAAAATTTGAGTACTGGTGGGTTTAGGGTGGAATTGGCCTTGGTATTTGTTAGTTGTAGGTACTGGGATTTATAGTTCACCTGCAATCAAAGAGCCCTCTGCACCCCACCTATGATAGACCTGGACGTAACTTGGCACACAGAACCCGCATGAACGTACTGGAGGGATTTGATGGGACTGACCCACCATGGTGGGAGCTGTAGTTCGTCCTGCAGCTGGAGAACATACTGAGCTCCACAGATGCTGCATCTAGAGCAAACTTGCCCAAAATGACAAACTTTAAGTATTGATGGAGTTTCAGGAGGTTGACCTAGCATGATGTGAATTGTAGTTCACCGACAACCTTATGCATTTTGTATAGTCAAAAACTGACTTCCTCTAATAACCTGGGCAACGCCGGATAGCCAAGCTAGTATCTAATAAAAATCACTTATTAAGACATATACTGTATTTCACCACGTAATAGCTGCCACCATGTAACAGTCGTGCCTCCCTTTTTGAGGTTAGCAAAATTTGTGTTAAAATATACCATTTGATAATGACCCCCATTAAATTAAAATTGGGACCATGTTTTGTGGCGAGAGAAAAAACATTCTACTCTCAAGAATGTGTTCCTGGCTTTCTAAGAAACAGAGGAGGCTTCCCAAAATATTTGGCTGCAAGCAAACTGGCCTCCCACGCTGGGTCTATTCTATTCTGTCCATTTCTCTGCAGCTCTTTCCCATCTGGCGAGGCTCAAAAGCCAAGGCTTTCAGCTCCCAAACACTCCTTGAAAATCATTCTCAATTCAGGCAAACCCGGTTGGGAAAGGACAAGAATGACGGGAAAGTCTGAATCAAGTTCACATCACTGACACA